TCTTGCATTCTATAAGAAAACAGGCTGAACAAGCAAGGGGGAGCAAACCAGTAAGCAGCACCCCTCCATGGCCTCTGCATCAGCTCCTGCCTCCGGGCTCCTGCCCTGTTTGAGTTCCTGTCCTGACTTCCTTTGGTGATGAACAGCGATGTGAAAATGTAAACCAAATAAACCCTTTCCCCCTCAAGTTGCTTTTGGTCACAGTGTTTCATCACAGCAACAATAACCCTAACTAGGACAAGAACCCAGCTTCTTCAGCCTTCTGACAAAGACTGAAGACCAATTATTCTCCAGAAATCCACCCAGCCTTCAGGGCCAAATTAGGACTGCTGAGGCCAAGCCTTGTGAACCAAGCAGCTACTGGGTCCTCAGCCTCTCTAATGTAAAGACAGTCATTCTTAAATTACTGAGACCTTATCATGTAAGTCAACCTAAATCCCCTTTAGATAGACAGACAGACAGACAGATCGATAGGCTCAATTGTTCTGGTCCTCTAGAGAGCCCTAATACACATCCTAATACAAGACATTCAAAGCCTGATTCAGTGAAATACTATGTATTTCAATAGATGCATTTTAGTAAAGCTGGGATCCTGACACTAAAGCAAACGTAGAGTCTCATGAATGTGATATCTGCAAGTGAAGGCGTGGGGACTGCGGTGGCTTGGATGGGAGTGGCCCCCATAGACTCATAGATTTGAATGCTTGCTCATTAGGAATTGGTGAGACTTGATTGGGATCAGGTGTGCCCTTGTTGAAGGAAGTGTGTCACGGGGTGGGTGGGGGGGGGGTGGACTTTGGGGTTTCAAATGCTCAAGCCAGGCCCAGTGTCTCTCTCTTCCTGCTGCCTGATGATCTGGATGTAGAACTCTCAGCTCCTCTCCAGCACCACGTCTGCCTGTATGCCACCATGCTTCCTGCCACGACCATAACGAACTAAACCTCTGAAACTGTAAACCAGCCCCAATTAAATGTTGTCCTTTATAAGAGTTGCTGAGGCCGTGGTGTGTCTTCACAGCAATCCAGCATTGACTAAGACAAGTACCATTGTTAAGTTTCGAACCCTGGGGACAAATGGCTAAGGTACCTATTTAACATACCAAAGCAGACCCGGCTACCAGGTTCTCCCAGCATCCCTCAGTCCCTACCTGTTACCAGGTATGACCATCATTCCCACTAACCTGAACTCTCCAGCCTAGGGGCTGGGGTGCCCTTCCTCCAGAGTCTCTTCCCCACATAATCCCGACGTTTTGGTTACCCACCCCTTTTTTTACCTTTTGTCCTCTTGGCTGCTGACCCGGTTCCCCTCTCTCCTCCCCCTTCCCCTCCCCCTCACATGGCTCAGGGTTATGTCCACTCTGGACTCTCCCAGACGTCTCTGCCTCTGGCTATGCTCTCCCTTTTATCTACAATAAACTTTCTCCTCTACCATACCTAAAAGCAGCCATGTCCTTCCTTTTTATTTTATTTTTTTTTCATTCAACCATGTTGGTAACACTGTCATAACTGGATTCCCTGGAGAAGAGATTCTGAAATGGAGACTGACTGACATGAAAGATGTTTATTAGCAAATAATTATGTGGAGAGATAGGGAGAACAGGGTCCCGGGAGGGGGACACTTTATTGCAAAGGCCTCAGCCGATTTAATGGGAAGCTCTGGAGTTTAGCTAACCCTTTCTACCCCCGCGTTAGTGAAGTAGTTGATAGATGTAGGATGGCCCCTGGGAGGCAGGATATCTATTTCTGTGGTGAAACACCATGGTCAAAAAGCAAGTTGGAGAAGAAAGGGTTTATCCAGCTTACACTTCCACAGTACTGCTCATCATCAAAGGAAGTCAGGACAGGAACTCAGGCAGGACGGGATCCCGGAGGCAGGAGCTGATGCAGAGGCCATGGAGGGGTGCTGCTTACTGGCTTGCTCATCAGGACTTGCTCAGCCTGCTTTACTATAGAACTCAGGACTTGGGGCTGGAGAGATGGGTCAGAGGTTAAGAGCACAGGCTGCTCTTCCAGAGGTCCTGAGTTCAATTCCCAGCACCTACATGGTGGCTCACAACCATCTGTAATGAGATATGGTGCCCTCTTCTGGCATGCAGGTAGAACACTGTGTACATAATTAATTAATTATTTTTTTAAAAAAAGAGCTCGGGACTCAGCCCAGGGATGGCACCACCCATAACAGGCTGGGCCCTTCCCCACCGAATTAAGAAAATGTCCTACAGCCAGGTCTTTTGGAGGCATTTTCTCAGTTGAGGTTCCCTCCCTTCAGATAACTCGAGCTTGTGTCAAGTTAACATAAAACTATCCAATAAGCATGGGCAAGGCAGCTACCATCAGCTAGCAGCAATCTCATCTGAGGAGTCAAACTGCAGTACTGCTGGCAGCTAAAGGACCAAGAAACATCATCACAAAGACCCGAGCTGAGCAGTGGTGCTCATTCTTTGCCCAGTCCTGTACACTCCTCGGATCCACTTGCTTTTGACGGTGAGCTCTAGGGGCATCTCCTCCAGGAGTCTGGTACCTATATTTTCTCAAGGAAATTGCAAGAAGAATTAATAGAACATTAACACAACCCCACTGTTACAGTGGTATCCAGATCTTTCCTCTAGATTCTTAAAAAAAAAAAAAAAAAACTTTCATTGTGCATGTGTAGATGTGGACATATGTGAGCACAGGTGACCACAGAATCACAGAACCCAGCGGGGTGTGTGTGTGTGTGTGTGTGTGTGTGTGTGTGTGTGTGTGTATTCTTTGCAGCTGGAATTATAGGTTATAGGTGTTTGTGAACCACCCAATATGGGTCCTAAGAATTGCAGTCGGGTCCTTTGCTATAGCAACCAGCATTTTTTTTAAGTTTTATTTATTACATATACAGTGCTCTGTCTGCATGTGTGCCTGCCCACCAGAAGAGGGCACCAGATCTCATTATAGATGGTCATGAGCCACCATGTGGTTGCTGGGAGTTGAACTCAGGACCTCTGGAGGGACAGCCAGTGCCCTTAACCTCTGAGCCATCTCTCCAGCCCTGTCATCCAGATTCTTAACCAGCACTTTACAAAATTGTCAAGGACATTGAAAGCAAGGAGAGTCTAAGGAACTGTCATGTGATGGGAATGTCGTTCTGTATGCTGTGAATGTGTGTTGATAAATAAAATGTTTATTGGCCAGTAGCCAGGCAGGAAGTATAGGTGGGGCAAGCAGACAAGAATTCTGGGAAGAGGAAGAGCTGAGTCAGGAGTCAGACACACAGGAAGCAAGATGACAAGGCAGAACTGAAAAAAGGTACCAAGCCACGTAGCTAAACAGACAAGAATTATGGGTTAATTTAAGTGTAAGAGCTAGTCAGTAATAAGCCTGAGCTAACAGCTGAACAGTTATAAAAAAATATAAGCCTGTGTGTTTATTTGGGTCCGAGCAGCTGTGGGACTGGCATGTGAGAAAGATTTGTCCTGACTATGGGTCAGGCAGGACACAGGAAAACCTCCAGCTACAGTCATGACCAAGCGGAGTCTCCTGATTCACAGCAGCCAAACTAAATGCTATCTGGTGGCCTAGATGGGGTCCTGGAACAAAAACATGTTAGGTGAAAAACTCAAAACATCTGACTAAGCTATGGACTTCGGTAAGGACTTTCATGAGTAAGTGTGCTGGGGCTGGAAAGATGGCTCAGTGGTTAAGGAGCAATGGTGCTTTTACAGAGGACCAGGGTTCAGTTCCCAGCAGCCTCGTGGCAGCTCACAACAGTCTGTAACTCCAAGTTTGAATCTGGCGCCCTTTTCAGCCTTCCTCGATGACCAGGCATGCATATAATGAATGCACTTACATACAGACAGGCAAAACACCCACACACATTTTTTTTTAATAAGATAAATAAATCTTTAAAAAGTAATGTCTGCCATCTCCCTAGGGTAGAATAGTAATTTTAGTTTACAGTCTTGGCCAGTGGATGGGGAATTTTCAGGATTTTCTATGTGTCTTTCTCATTAAGATAATTCTTCATCTACCAGTGAAGACACAGTATGTTCAGCCCAATTATTTATTCTGGATGTGGGGAGATGCCAAGGAAGTAGATTATGAATTCAGTGTTAATAAGTCCCAGGGGAGAATCCATGTGCCACCTCTCAGATATTCCCATCTGAAAAAGGAGGTGACAACTACTCACTAATCCCCGAGATCAAGGTAACCCTGACCTTGGAGCTCATGGTCCTTTGAGTGTGTGTGTGTATATTCTCTTTCTTCCATATAAACCATCACAGGGAATTACTGCCAGAATGAACAGTAATAGCATCAAAAGTCCTTTTTGGGGGGGGGGGTCCACCCTGTCTTTTGGTCAATAGTTTATGAGCTTGAAAAGTAACCAAATTCAGCTGGGCAGTGGTAGCGCACACCTTTGATCCCAGCGCTCGGGAGGCAGGGGCAGGCAGATCTCTGTGAGCTCAAAGCCAGCCTGGTCTACACAGGGAGTTCCAGGACAGCCAAGGCTACACAGAGAAACTCTATCCCCCCAAAACAAACAAAAACAGAAAATATAATACTTTACTGTCCTGTCCAATACCATCAATGAAATATGAACTTGAGTATTTGACTTACTAGTTACAGGGATTTTTCCCTGATGCCCAGTAGAATAAATAATTTTAATATAAAAATGTGTTCCCATCTACCACTTAAAACCACCCAGCACACACAGATGAATCTGTGAGAAGTGCTGAAGTGGTCCACAAGGGGATGATGATTTAAGTAGGAGAGCCCTGTGGCCTCCCAACACATCTGCGGACCCTGGTCCTGATGAGAACGCTGTGATTTTTGAAGTGTCCACTTGAGTCAGTCCGAGCCTCTCATACACTGCAGTGTCTACTCAGCACAAATCCACTCCCTGATTCAGCGGGGAAAGAGGTCCTTAAACACATCTGTCTCTCAGCATCTTTGCCCTTTAACTTATGGGACCATAGAAGGAACACCAGAAGCCCTTCTCATTCATCAGAAATATAACACACATTCAACTCAGAAGCACACGTAGAAGTCTTTTAATTCCTTGGAGAAACATTCCTGAGTAATTTTATGTATTTTAATTACCACAGAGATAATCCTTACGTGTTCATTACCAAAAATAAGAAGTATGGTAATAGTTTACAATCCACAGACACAGTCAAACTCATCTATTTTGACATCAAAAAAGACAAAAGACAAAACAAATTCTGAGTACAGATATTAAAACAATACAATGTTCCCAGATTTCTTTTGTTTATTTTATTGCTTATTTTCTAAAAGCCCACAGAAGTGAGTGAAAATTTCCAAGGGGCCAATCTCAAACAACATGAGGCAGAGATTAAGCACTAAATATTAAAAAAATAAAACTTTTAGCTTACTTAATAAACTAGGAAGATTTCTCTGGGAACGAATCTGTTAAATTGGTCTACAATGCATCAATGAACAGAGGACATGTATTTCCTAGTAGATATTTTAAACATTCAGTACACAAGCCAGAAATCCTTCCCAGGATATGAAATTTTTCAAGTCACAACCTCCTGAACAGACTTTGTTTTCAACCTGAAGTTAGAAGTGCAAAATCGTTAAAAAATAAAAATATTCCTATTGTTCTCAGTAGATTACTGATAAATCCTATAAGTCTTTAAAGGCTTTTCAACAAAACAAACCACAAACTCTTGGCAAGCTCCATTTTGAAAATCATGTTCAGACCGATGGAAGACCCAGAGGTGACCTCTGTCAATATGTCACAGCCTGCATATCTACAAATGTGCACCCCAAGGTCCCTCAGCAGGTACCACCCTCAGCTGGTAAGCAGGAAACAGGTTCAAAACAGGAAGTGGAGGCCAAACATTCCAGTCTACAGATGCTATTCATAAAACGACAAGGGCTTTTGGACTAGAAATGGGCAACACGTAAAAAATTGAGGTCATTGGGTAACATCAAGGCTGGGGATTATCGTTGAGGGTTTAGGATGCCTGTGTCACAAATGAAGACAGTCACGTGTCAATACACATCTCTATTGCCTGGCTCACCTATGCTTCTAAACAACCATGCCTGTTGCTCAAAACAGTGTCTGAGCTGCTACAGGTGTTTCCAAATCAAAGAGAGGCCACACAAGGCCTAGAATTTTATGAAATTTGGGGCATTCTGTCTAGCATTACATTTAATAATGATTACTTTCAAAACTGGTGAAGTAATAAAGGGCTCAGTTACACGTTTCTCTATTAGTCATACTATTTTGTTGATTAGAAAACACCAGTCCTCCACAGGATGAATGACTGTAGCTTATGTAACAAAGGAGGCGATGAGTTCTTAGAATCCGACTAGCCTTGAAAAACTATCCACCTCCTTTAATCCCAGCACTCGGGAGGCAAGAGGCAGGCGGATCTCTGTGAGTTCGAGGCCAGCCTGGTCTACAGAGCGAGTTCCAGGACAGGCACCAAAACTACACAGAGAAACCCTGTCTCGAAGAAAAAAAAGAAAGAAAGAAAGAAAAAAGAAAAGAACATCTATCCACCGGCCGACTCTTTAACTTCATTTCTCAATGCAGTTGCCAGGTGTTTTAATGTAACCTTCTTAGGCTAAGGTCCTGAGGAAGACATTACGTTTTGTAGGATTCAGAATCGTGTTTGAGTGTAGAAAGCCGTCTCCTGGCTCATTTGCAACCGCGGGCAGTGGTCCAACTTTGGTAAATTACTATGTCATGGTGAAAGAACTCTGTCCCTCTTCCAGGCCATTCGTCAGGGGCTTGGAAATGGAAGGTAGTGCAGTTTTTTCTGGCCATCGACCAGACAAGGGACCCCAGGCTTCTTGGGGTAAGTTCGGCTAGCAATTTTAAAGAACTCTTCAGCAGCATCAAGAGCAATGAGACGGTCCTGCAGTTAGAAAAAAAGATAAAAGAAAGAGAAAGAAGCTTACTTACCAAGTTGGAAACAGGGCTATATGGATGAGAAAGTTTAACAAAAATAAAGCCTGCCCTTAAAATGATACCAAGCAAGTAAAACATTCATTAAAAATCTCAAGATTCGGAGGTTTACCTTACCCCTTTATGTACGTTACCCAAGAGATGTTTCTGCCAATAATTTGTGTATGTGAGCATACTTATGTGCATGTAGGTGTGTGTGCAGGTGTTCAGGTGGGCCGGTGTGCACACGGCAGGCATGCAAAAGTCATAGGTCAACCTTTGGTGTTGCTCCTCAAGAACCACCCCACCTTTGTTTCATTATTTTTTGAAACACAGTCTTTCACTGGGAGCTGTGGCACACCCGCCGAGGCTAGGCTGGTGGGGCCACAAGCCTAAGGCATCGGCCTATTTCTCTGTGTCCTGGCCCTGGGGTTACTAGCAGGCCACCATGTATGTCAGGCTCCTAAAATGGGTGCTGGGGATCAAACTCAGCTCTTCCTGTTTACACAGCAAGCCTATCACCAACTAAACTCTCTCCCCAGCAGCCCTCTGCCAGTCTTTCTGATCTTGGGCTGTAGAGATACTTTGACTCTTTGACCTGATGTAGAAACTTTAACCACGCAGCAGAAATCATCTGAAAAACACAACCTGAGCCTCAACAGTTGCTGTGGGATGTCATTCTGTATAATGTGAATGTGTTGCTCTGATTGACTGATAAATAAAACGCTGATTGGCCAGTAGCCAGGCAGGAAGTATAGGATAGGTGGGACAAGAGAGAGGTGAATGCTGACAGGTTGAAGGCTGAGTCAGTCAGGGGATGCTGCTGGCTGCCACCGCCATGAGAAGCAAGATGTAAAGTACCCGTAAGCCACAAGCCACATGGCAACTTATTAATAGAAATGGGCTAATTTAAGATATAAGAACTAGACAGCAAGAAGCCTGCCACGGCCATTCAGTTTATAAGTAATATAAGTCTCTGTGTGTTTACTTGGGTCTGAGCAGCTGCGGGTCTGAGCGGGACTGGAGAAAACTCCGGCTAAAAACAGCTTTAGGCAGGATCCAGAAATCTTTCTCTTCAAAGCTCTCCGGGTGGCCCTTGGAGCCACCAGCCACAGGTGCATACAGTGGCAGCACCATTTGCCCCTCTGTCCTGGTGGAGCTGGTGAAGTTGGGATGCAGGGGGGGGCTCCCAGGAAATAACAGAAAATGGGGAAGGAAAGCAAAGCAGGGCAGGTGAGGAACGGCATCCACTTACCACGACCAAGAGATACCTCTCGGAGAGCTCCCAGCTGGCTGGGAAGATGGAAGTCTCTTCGGCCAGTTTCAACAGCATCTCTCGGGCTTTTCTCGTGTTCTTAGAGTCACTCATGGTGCTGAGTTTGGTCACTGACAGCAGAGAGTCTGCTTCCCTTTGAAAACCTAAGGCAGAAACACAGAGTCCTTCTGTGAAGCCGTCACTAGGAAGTGCTCATCCCGTGATACTCTATCGCTGTGTGATTGTTACGAAGGGATCCAAGTGTGGATTCTATACAATAAAAACTAAGTCAGAGGCACTACAGAGTACTGCTTCCCAGCTCTGCGAGAGTGGGGGGCTCTTTACTTAAAACTATTTTCGCAGGGCAGTGTTGGTGCACGCCTTTAATCCCAGCACTCAGGAGGCAGAGGCAGGCAGATCTCTGAGTTTAAGGCAAGTTGGTCTACAGAGCGAGATCCAAGACATCCAGGGCTGTCTCGGAAAAAAAAAAAACCAAACAACAACAATAAAAAACTATTTTCATGTTTCTCCTTGTTGTTTTCTTTGTTACCTTTTCTCTCTACTGAGGGAAGTCATACCCGATCCCCGACTGCTCACTACAATTGTCCACTGCCCTGTCCTAGAATCCCTACACCTCTCCCCAGCCTGAACAGTGGTCACCTCCAGGTTACTACATCTCGAAGCCCTGATTTCCTCATGGTAGTATGGTCAACGGGTAAAAATTATTTCCCTAAAGATGGGAAAGACTCAGAGAAGGAAACCTGCTCAGGCTGACTTACACTTCAAAAAGGAGACTGTTAACCCACAGCAATATTGAGTAAGTTAAAGAGCGTCCACTTTACCCCACTATCCCCCAACTTAGACAGCAAGGGCTAGCAACCTGGTACCCCCACCTTTGAAAATCTTTAACATGTCCAGGGTCATGTTATTTCAAAGCAGAATGATCTAGAACTTTAAAGGTGATCGTTCATTTCTGAACACTAAAGTAAGCTTATTTTATGACGTGAGCTATATGTATTCAATTCTGGTAGAATTAAGAAAGGCCACTGTTCAACGTCTACCATAATGCCAAGTGTATTTTCCCAACCTTATAACTTTTCTTCCTTTTGCTCCGTTTAGAATTTGCTGTTGTGTCTCGACGTCTCTTACAAACAATATTTCTTCCAACCTGCCATATCCATAAACCTATTACTACTTGCTCAGTCACCCCTCACCCAACTCAATCGATAAATGATGGCATTATAGTAAACAGTAACACCCATATGACTTCACTACTCTGTGTTACCTCATACTTGGGGACACAAGAAGAACACGAGCTGGTGACAACGGAAATATCAAGGTTTATTCTCGAGAACACAGAAGCAAGTCTGAAGAAGAAATCAGCACAAGGCAGTTTAGCAGCCAGTGCTGACGATCTTTCTACAAAAGCCTCGGTGGGAAAAGGGAAAAGCGGTGCACGTGACTAGATATTTTTACCATTTCCCAAGACTCACCCAAGTCTTCTAAGATGCGCCTCCATCTGTTTCTCACTTCCCGGCGAACCTGCCGCAGGCTGTAGATGTCATAGTTGAGTCTCTGCCATTCCTGGAAAGAGAGAAAAACTCGCTTTTACAAACACCCTCGGGCCTGAAACCTCTGTCTCATTTCTGGAACTGTAGGTTGCTTAAACATGTGGTTCTCCACCTCACTAATCTTAAACACAATCAGAAAAGAAAAGGAGGCATAGACGAGATGGAGCTGGCAAGAAAGAATGTCATCAGCTACCACTGCTGAAGAATGTGTCCCCTTCTAGGTGACAGCGTTTCTAAATATGTCACTTTGACTCTCTGATACCAATTTTCTCCACTGCAGTGACCTTGCCTGCAAAATGGGGTACGCAATAGTAAAGTTTCCACACGAGACTACTGTCAGGACTTAAGGTATATATAAAACATCAGCACACAGAGAAACCCTGTCTCAAAAAACCAGAAGAAAAAAAAAAAGCTAAACTTTTAAAAGGCTGAGTAAAGTATTAGCACCATACAGTGTTTCCTCTCTACCAAAACTGATCCTGTGTTCTGGACTCAATGCAAAGTGGTCAGAACTTTACTCACACTTCATTAGGAGTTCACATAACCAAGCAGTTGCTTCACGAGAACCCAGAACCTTAACTTATGGAACAAACCACTAGGTGGCTTCACTAACTTGTGATTAAAGGTCTACTAATTTGTCTCAGTCCAGTGCTGATGCCCCGACAAGATTCTTTCCATGGACAGACAAAAGCTTTATTATGCAGTGTTAGAGGCGCTAAAATTACAGGGAGTCATATAAAATCCAGTGTTGATATTTAGCAACAGAAAAATAACTAATAAATGAACAGCAGGAAGAGAAAGCCCTTGGATCATCCAGGTGCCAGACTTCTCCTATTGTCCACTATTCATTATTTTACAGTTCCCCTGGTGGAGAGGCTACTACATTTCACACAAGACTGGGATTGGTCCTAAATATAAAGTTTAATGACTGTGAATGCTCCAAAATGAACATCTGTGGTTGGTGGCGAACAGTGCCTGACAACTTCACAGCCAAACTAGTGCCTATCTCAGGCAGCAGCACCGCCTGGGGGTGGCTTGATTCCAGCTTAACAGGTAAAGATCCCATACCACCCAGTGCCAAGCCGGGACTTGGTATCACCTAGACCCAAATGCCAGGAACCTCTCAGGCCACAAGTGGCCTGCAGAAGCAGCAGTGGGACAGGGAGCTTAGCGGGGCCGCCTGTGAAGCGCGCAGGAAGCAGTGTGTCCAGGCCTGAACCCTGCTGATTCCAACAGAGATCTCACCGGCCCTCCAGGGTTCCATCCTCAGTGACAAGGGATGCTGTGCTTGAATGACCCCGGCTACCCAAGGTCAGTCCCCATGGTGCCCCCCGCACTCCTGTTTGTTGCCATGGGTACCCAAGTCCCGGCAGTGGCTACTGACTACTGAAGGAGCATCTGAAGAGAAAAGTCCAGAGTAGTCAAGACAGAACGAAGGCAAGAGGAAGAAGAGAGTCAGTAAGAGAGAGCCAATCAGGGCTGAGGAGAGGGCTCAGTGGTTAAGAGCACTTGCAGAGGACCTGGGTTTGGTTCTCAGATCCCACATGGCAGCTAACATCTGTAATTCCAATTCCTGGGGATCTGATGCCCTCTTCTGGCCTTTGAGGGCACTTTGCACACATCTATGCCTGCAAGACACCCATATACATGAAAATAAATAAATAAACCTTGGCACAGAGAGGGAGGGTATAAAGAAGGACTAAAAGAGCCAGAGGTGACAACCTGTAGGCCCCAGTCACAAAGGTTCCTGAGAGCTGTCATGTTTTCAGAGCCAAGAGTCTCAAACCCCAGGCTGAGCTGTAGCTGACGACCACCAAGGATCAAGAATCAGAGACCTGGGTCCCTGTACCAGGACAGTAGTATTAGAGGATGTCACCTGTACGCCCTCTACCCGCCTACAACTCTTTTCACTGCTACCAAACACTGAAGACAAAGGCCACTAGGGACTAACTTCTTACCTACCTACGATCTACTCAAGAGCAAAAGGACCCTCGGCAGCTGAATGGTGACACATACTAGGATCCCAGGCTCCCCTACTGTAAATAGCCTGCACATAAGATTAATGGGATTGGGCTGGAGAGATGGCTCAGAGGTTAAGAGCACTGGCTGCTCTTCCAGAGGTCCTGAGTTCAATTCCCAGCAACCACATTAATCACAGCCACACCAAAGATGAGATCTGTGTCCTTGTCTGGTGTGCAGGCATACATGCAGGCAGAACACTGTATACATAACAAATAAATAAATGTTTTTAAAAAAAGATTAACGGGATAAAACTTTCACACATCCATTCATCCACACATAAGATTACTATCTTTTTTGGGGGGAGCGGGGGTTCAAGACAGTGTTTCTCCGTGTAGTTTTGGTGCCTGTCCTGGAGCTTGCTCTGTAGACCAGGCTGGCCTCGAACTCAGAGATCCGCCTGGCTCTGCCTCCGAGTGCTGGGATTAAAGGCGTGCGCCACCACCGCCCAGAGATTATTATATTTTTTAACATAATAATACCTAAAAGTTTTGTAAAAAAAAAAAAAAAAAACTCTAAAACCAGTAGAAGCCTGAGCAGAACTTAACTGAAATTTGGATTTAATAAAATGAGTGAGAAGTGGAGACTGAATTCCCCTTAAATACAGGACTCCAAACAACAGAGCCAAAGTGAGGGAACGATGGCATGCAAAATCTTCTCCAACTACATCTTTTCATAACTGAAAAGACCTACTCCTTCATGTTAGAAAGGAAGAAGTTCTTGATGTACTTCATAACTGTTAAATTGTAATGACTTCCTTTTTTAAAAAAGATTTATTTTATTTATTATGTATACAGTGTTCTGCCTGCATGTGTCTTTGCAGGTCAGAAGAGGGCACCAGATCTAATTGCAGGTGGTTGAGAGCCACCATGTGGTTGCTGGGAATAGAACTCAGGACCTCTGGAAGAGCAGTCAGTGCTCTTAACCACTGAGCCATCTCTCCAGCCCCTAATGACTTACTTTTTAAGCTTGAAGCAACTTGAAAATAAAAATTCAAAATCAGTTAAATAACCTTCACAGGAGAATTTCGTTCCACTAAGCACCAAACATTGTTAAGTTTTATTTTCTTAACTTGTGTTGATTTTCCCATAATTTCCGAAACAGTGCGCTGTGGTCAGAGTGCTGGGGCAGCCTTAAAAATTAAGAATGGGTGAACTGGTAAAGATCTGACAAAAAGAATAATGTGGGATTCATTCTGTGCAACATCTGGGAACCACGCCAAACTGAAAATTTGTGACTGAAATGAACACCTGGAGATGTTCACAGCTAATTTTTTTTGTTGTTGTTGTTTCTCCTCTTCAGTTGTTGGCCAAATCAGATTAGAACTGATTGATAGGAAGGCTGAAGCAACAGCATGGAAGAGAAGGAAAAAATGGAATCTTGTGCCACTGCCTTCCAGCTTTGAGGGCCAAGAGCTGGCTGCGAACATGAACACTGATTTAAGTTCATTAGATCATGTGGGGGTTTGGATGAAAAGGACCCCCCACAGGCTCACTGGGAGTGTTACTGGAGGTGTGGCCTTGTTGGAGGAGGTGTGGCCTTGATGGAAGAGGTGTGGCCTTGTTGGAGGAGGTGTGGTCTTGTTGGAAGAGGTATGTCACTGTGGGCTGGGCTTTGAGGTCTCAGATGTTCAACCCTGTGGCTCTCTCTCTTCTTGCTGCCTGTGGACCAAGACTCTCAGCTCCCTCTCCAGCACCATGTCTGCCTGTGTACTGCCACGCTTCCCCACCATGATGATAATGGACTGAACCTCTGAACTGCAAGCCAGCCCCAATTGAATGTTTTCCTTTACAAGAGTTGCCATGATCATGGTGTCTCTTCCCAGCAATGGAAACCCTAACTAAGACAGACCATTTCTCCTGTGCAAAATCAAAGCACTGTATTCTCCAGGGCTGAAGAGTTCACTTAGCAGTTAAAAGCGCTTTTTTGGTTCTTGCAGAGGACCCAGGTTCGGATCCTGGCATGCATATGGATGGCTCACAACCATCCATAAAACTCCAGTTCCAAGTGATCTGACGATATCTTCTGACCTCTGTGGGCACCAGGCACGGATATGGTGTGCAAACAGGCATGCTGACAGAACACTCCCACATAAAAATAAAATTTAAAAACAATAAATTTAACACTGTATTCTCTAAACAGCAATTCCCCTGGTCACTACTCCAACCTTTGATACCATAATTCTACCCTCTGTTGGTACAAATATGCCACTTCAGAATCCATACAGAGGTGACATCAGGCAGTATCTGTCCTTTTGCGTCTGGCTTATCCCATTCAGACCATAACACAATGACCTCTATGTTCATCCACACGATTACAGGATACCCCCACACACACACCCTTTGTTCTGTTTTTGACACGCTCTTATTATGTAGCCCAGGCGGTCCTGAAACTAGCAGCAATCCTCCTGCTTCCGTGTTGCGATTACAGAGCTGAGACACACACACTGTCCTCTACTGCTATGGTGTCTTTGACCAAGAATGATCATTTGCATGCCTCTACATCAGTGTTTCTCAGCCTGTGGGTCATGACCCCTTTGGGGGTCAAAGGGCACTTTCCCGGGGACTGCCTAAGACCATCAGAAAACATAAGATGTTTACATGTTTATGTAAGCTGTTACGTTTACAATCCGTAACAGTAGCAAAATGACAGTTACGAAGTGGCAACGAAATTAACTTTAGGGGGGGGGCAGCAGTGGTCACCACCACATGACGAACAAAAACAGAAAGGCTCACAGCATTGGGAAGGTTGAGAACCACTACTCTACATCTAAATCCTACTTATCAAGGCCACCACCTCTTTCCGATTCACTGGAAGTGATGGCTTCTTCCCTCAGTCTTTATGAACAGACTTAGGTCTCTACACTGCCACATTGGTGTGTGCGGGGTCTCCTTCACTACTAGAGTACAGGCTCCTTGGACACTAGAACCGGGGTTCATCGGTACCCTGCATAGTCCTTCGTACGCGGTGCATCCGACAATGGGTTTGCTGAAA